TGAAATTTCCTACAATATTATGTGTTGTCTCAGGTGATTTGCACCATTATATGGGACACAGGTCGTCACCATTTGATTGGACAATAAAAAAATTATTGCCTCTCACGTTTAACCGGAAACGTGCAATTTCGAGGATTGACCATGGCGGCGCGTTTGCGGCAACTTATGGTGCTGAGTCGCGACGTTGCCAAGAGCACACAGTTCTACCAAGACGGCCTTGGCTTGCATCTAATCCGTCAGTCAGACTCGTTCAGCGAGTTCGACATGCAGGCAGGTGTGACGCTGAGCATCAAGCAAGCTCATGGGTACACGACTTGGCGACCATGGCATGATTCATCACAAGGTCGTGCCTAGGGAGGCTGCATGCAGTGCTGGGTACTCTCCGTTCCTTAACTTCGACGTCGATGATATGATGGAGACGATTCCGCGCCTCATCAGCCTTGGTGCAGCGATGGATGGCCCTATCAAATACCCGGCATTCGGTACTCCGATTCTATAGTCGCATCCACCAACATCTGTGCATTTCTAGGTAAAGTGGCTGCAGTCCGGTCGCCCGACGGAACTATGATCGGTCTCTACGAGTCCAATACGATGGAATCTGCCACATCAGCATAAACTTAAATGCACACTTGCTCTCAGGACTCCTGGCTATATTTTTTAGCGTCATTCTGTCTCCATACTTCGTGTGCGATGTCGGAGCTTTTCAAGCCTACTTCGGTCGCGCCAACTTTGGTGCCACCCACCGTCCCTTCGCCCAGGAGATGTACAGGACCTCAAACATGAAGTCGCACAGCAAAAGACGAGTGCGCTCTGCCCTCAATGCGAGCGCACCCTGCTTCAGTGTCTGTACAGCTGGGGTTCATAAGCCTCTACGCATTTGCAAGATCAATTCGACGAGGCATGTGCTGGATTACTGCAGGAATGGCTGATGGTATCGTCTGCGCAGTTCGATGACCATGAAAGGACTGACTGTGAAAAACGGGCAAGCCAAGCGCGCCGGCTTGTCCTTTCATTGCTGCCCACAATCTTCACATTCGAGCTGTAACCCGCAGATGGGTCGAGCCGGTCAGGGCATTGCACTAGGCGAACCATCGGCGCTGCAAAGGTAGGAACGAAGTGCGCAGGGCAACGCAAAGGCTCCTGTAGCTGTGCCTCCACGTCCAACTAGCCGCACACGCCTGCTTTTGGACACTTCAAACTGCGGGTGTATCATTCAACCGGTATCTCCGCATATAACGCGCCCTGATTGGCCCGTCGTTTCGACGAGCCATGTTTCACTTCACACATTTTGTTCAGTGGTTGGCGAGGATGGGTTTGCCGACTACGTCACCGCACGCGATGCTGCTGGAGGTGGCGCAAATTGCGAGGGCTATTCAGTGGTCTACATCTGACTACGTAAACTTCCCGGCGCGGTTCACCGTCCCTGACGAGGCACCGTGGCCCGTGTCTCTTCATGGACGCACAATTCAGGTGGCGCGTGTCCGCAAGCAGTTCAAAGATGGTGTACTGCCGGCTCTCGTCGTCGACGCTCTCAATAATCTCGGGTTTGTCTGGGATGCCAAACAGCACAACTGGACCTTGCGCGTCTTGGCGCTGAAGACGTACAAGGCATTGTTTCACAACCTCTTGGTGCCTTACGAATATGTCGTGCCACATCATACGTCTCCGTACGACGCCATGCCGTGCTGTACCTCAATAACAGCAGCCGTGTAGATGGAGCCGAGACTTGTGGGGGTGCAAACTTGGTGTTGCCGTGACCAATATCCGCTCGCGCGTGCATCAGCTATCCGACGAGCGTAAAGCCGAGCTGGACGCACTTGGCTTTGTCTGGGACTCCCATGAACTCACATTTGACATCAAAGTAATGGCTTTGCAAACGTACAAGCAACTCCACGGCCATGTACGACTGTCTCCTTCTCCATCGTCGCCCCACGTCATAACACCAAGCAATCTGTAGGTCCACGTGCCGTTCGAGTTCCGAGTGCCAGATAACCACGACGTATGGCCTGCGCGATGTTGGAAACTCAAGCTGGGGCGCGCTGTCCATGATCTGCGATGCCGAGGGGACCATTTGGCGCAGGAGCGACGCGACGTGCTGGATTCACTGGGGTACGATTGCATGTGTTCTTTGGCTTTTGTGCCAGGAATTTTTGGAACTGGAACTGTGACAGCGAAGACTGACGAACTTCGTGGTCGGCTTCAGGTTTGTGTGGGACAGCCATGAGCTTAACTGGGACATGAAGCTCCAAGCGCTCAAGATATTCAAACAAGTTTTTGGCACTCTCGTGGTTCCTCAAGACTTTGTTGTGCCGTCCGCCGCGCCATGGCCCGAACGAGCGTGGTCGATGAAGCTAGGTGTGTTGGTTCATCCTAGTTGCAACAACATCGCGGATTTTACTGTATTGGTCGCGCAGGTCAAGCCGTCACGAACATGAGGTTTCGCGCCGACTCGATGTCAGCCGAACGGCACGCACAGCTAGAAGCAATTGGGTTCATATGGGACTACCCTGAACTGCGTGTTGACGCAAGTGTGCTGTTGCAGATCAAGGCCTCGACACCGAGCGAGTTTGACAAAGAAAACAGCAACGCTCTGCATCGGTCAAAGGAAGACATCCTTTGCAGTAACTACGATGCACATACGCCCAAGGAAGCAGCGCTGAGAGGCGTGTCATGGCGCTCGTCGCCTTGACGATCTTCGATGTTTATCCCACTTCTTGCCGGCCGTGCTGTTTCTGTTTCGTTAATAAATGAGAATCATTTTTCGTGCGTATGACGCCCACGCGAAATGGCCTTCATAAATGAATTTCATCTGTTTCTCTCGTACTTCAAGGGTGGTGTTGGATTAAGTACGCAAGCACTCCAGAAAAGACAACGCTTCCAACACCGCACCAGATCTCATGGAGCTCGGATTCCTTGCGGAGGAGAATGACTGTGGGCAGTCGCTACTTCGCCTCGTAAGCCGTGGTTCAGCCATCATTGCGGAGCTCCTCCGGCTGTCGAACAATATCCCGGGCATCTTCCTCGGGTCGGCCTTTGTCGAAGACCCCGAGCAGCGCAAGTACCTCGACATCTTGTTCGACTTTGCGTACCTAAAGAACCCGGAGGAGTTTGAAAACCGCGTCAACAGCGACACGGACCTCCTCGACATCGATGACGAGTTCATTGGAAACCACGAAGACATCCTGGACCGCTTCTATCAGTTGTTTGACTCGATCTACAAATACATTCAAGACTTCCTCGCGTTCTGCGACCAACTCGAGAAAGGGTTCTTCATTCAGCACAACTTGGCCAACATCCTCCTCAATACGGACGGGGCTCAACTTCTCTGTGAAGCGTTATATCTCTACGGTGTTATGCTCCTGCTCCTCGACCAGCGCATCCCCGGCCCCGCGCGCGAGCGCATGGTACATTCTGCTCCATACTTCCAAACATCTCCATCATGTTGACGTGCAATTTCTGGCGCCTTTCGTCCTGGATTGAGCCATTTCTAAACGCTTACTCGCCAGGTAATCGCGTTTTTCCGAAACAAAGGCGAATCGGCACTGGAAAACATCGATGAAGTGTGCAAGCTGTGCCGTGTGACGGGGTTTCTCCCGGGAAATCCCAAGCCCGCTCAGTACCCCGAACGGTACTTCAAGCGATTCGCGCCGCCTGACGAGGTTCTTTTCATTTGTTGCAATTTCCCTCTCGACGACTGACACTCGTGAAAGGTTGTAAGCATGGTGATCGGGAAGCTCCAAACCGACGACGTGTACTTGCAAGAACCAGCGTTCCCCCACCGAGACCACCGCAGCACGCGACTGGCGGCCCAAGCTAGTGTCCTGTATGTTGTGCTGTACTTTGCCCCGGACATTTTGATCCATGAAAAGGCCACGATGCGCGAAATTGTCGACCGCCACTTCAACGACAACTTTATCATCACGACATACATGGGCAATGTCGCTGACTTGTCGCTGGTGAGCCTTTCATGGCTTGTGTCGCTTTTCTCGACGAGGTTGCAGCCTCAGCAGCGCCTGGAATCATTTGTCAGCATGGTGACAAGGGCCAAAGGGTCATGCTGCTGTTGATCGCATTGCAATTGCCAATGTTGCGTGGAAGGAGGTTGACCAACCTACGTTGTTGTGCATGTTCCGTGGACGGAATGGCCACCTCATGCGGCATTGCGTGCATCTTTCATCGTCATCCTGTGAAAGAATTTTGGTGAAATTTTGGTGGTGGTGGTGCAGTCGCAGCGAAATGCACACCATTCTATGGCATGGCATTGCGTCCCGGGCAAAATTCTCAACGCTTTAGTTTCGTGTCGTGTGCATGCATCGAAGTTTTTATTGACCCCCGACTACACATGATGCATGGAACCCCGAGAAAATTGACTTTTTGTGGTGGGTAGGAATGGGCGCCGTATCCCGCCGCACGGACGGCGCTCGCCAACACGTTGGAGGTGTCCAATTTGGTAGACATTGTCAAGGCCAAGATGAAGTCGGGTGCGAAGAGCATTGATTTGTTGACGCATTTCTTGACGGAAGGCGTGCTGACGGAGCAGTACGTGCTCGAGAATATCGACAAGCTGCTCGATTGCATCCGCACGGCCAACGTGACGATCCGATGGACAATCTTGCACAGCCGGATGCAGGAAACGATCCCGATGATGAACCACTCGAAGGAACAACGAATGGTGTTTGACAAAGGCACGGACCCCGACAAGCTCGTGACGTTGCTCCTGCAAACGTCGCAACTCGAGTGGAAACTCAAACAACTTTTCGAACTGCTCCTGGCGTCGAAAGAAGAACGGTGGCAACATTGCATGAACGAAACGTGCGACCGCCTCACCGAGCTCAGCGAATACTTTACCGGTGACAAACCACTGACACGAGTTGACCGCAACGAAGATTTGATCAAGTGGTTTGCCGACACGTCGGCCAAGGTACAAAGGCACACTATCGCGTTCCTTCACTTTGGGCTTGCTGCATGCGTTGTCTATGTTCGTTTCCAGACTCCACTCATGTCGTCGTCAGTGGAGTGCCCACCACGTCGCTAGTATTTTTATCTGGGTTACCTGTCGGCACTATGGCTGCATCATGGCGTGAGTGCGAGTGTATGTGTTGTCGCAACGAGGCACCAGTGCGAATTCGTTTTTGAGTGTGAGGAAGTGCGTGCGAGGTATTCGTCTCAACGAATATTCGTTGTGTCTTGGTGGACTTGCGCTATGCCTTGCCGACGAGCCCCGTCTCCGACGATTGATGCAATCCTCGCACGTCCTGATTTTGTTTTGAACCGTCGTCACCCGCTTTGTCGAGGTAGGTGGCAAGTCTCGATTACGTCGATCACGTGAAAGCCGGCCGCCGCATCAAACGCCTGATTGAAGCGCTTGGCCACGTCGAGCAGTTTGACCAAATCGATACGTCCCTTCAAGTCAAAGCGTTCTTGTCCGAGTCCCGGGCGTACCTCACGGAAATGGTCGGGTTTCGCACAGACGAGCTGCAAACATGACAACGACTAATAGGTGCGCACGGTGCGAGTGCGCCAGGAAGTGATGGGAATCATCGAGTCGGTGTCAGACTTGAGCTACGCGTGGGAAGTCATCAACGATTTCATGAGCATCTTACACACGCGCGTCAAGCGCGACCCGTCCTGCGTCATCTTGCTTCGGGTGCGTTGTCCATCCTGTTGTTGGCATGTTTTGGCTGTCTGTCCATTCCGTGTGATCCTGACCAAGGGACTGTCGTGTGGCTGTAGGCGCTCTTTCTCAAACTCGCATCGATACTGGACGTCCCGTTGACGCGCATTTACCAATGCAAGTCGTCGGACGTGATTTCGGTCGCAGAGTATTACTCTGGTGAAATCGTCGACTACGTTCGCCGAGTGATGGAGATCATTCCCCAGAGCGTATTTCGCATCTTGGCTGGCATTATCAAGCTCCAAACAGGTATTTACGATGGTCGCGACACACCACGTCACACTGTGCAGACCACATGAAAGTCATTCCTGTCAAGATCGAAGCAAGCTTGCTCAAGAACCACGCCCAGTTGAACGAACGGTACCGGTTGGCCCGTGCCACGAACGAAGTGTCCAAGTACACGGAAGGTCTCCCTTGCCGAAGCCCAGTCGCAATAGCTCATGGTGTCTGAACTGTAGGCATTCTCGCGATGAAGAAGACACTTCTAGGGATTCTCGAGGTCGATCCGCGTCAAGTGCTAGAAGAAGGCTTGCGCAAAGAGCTCGTCTATCGGGTATTGTGGTCTCTCTCGTGTTTCATGGGATTCAAGCGTGTGTTTCGAAGTGTATCGCTTTTTTCAGTGGGTTCAAAGAAGAACTGGGTTTGACACACCATTCCAAGTGCCGATGAACGACTGCATTTTTGTTTTCTTTTTCTATATGGACTGGACGCTCTCTATCGTCTGCAAATGGCCGCTGGAAGTGTCGTGATGGAGGTGTAGGTAAGCCGCGCATACCACGACATTTTGCAATTTCCCCCCGTCGAGTCGACCACAGCGAAAGAATGCACGGCGATTTTTCAACAACTCGCTGGAACCCTGCAAGCGTACCGGTTGTCGTTCGAGTATATCCAAGACTACGTTGGGTACTGCGCACTCGCTGGACTAGCAATTCTGATCGTATGTGCAGCATCTATGGCCTTCGCATGTGGCACGAAGAGCTGAGCCGTGTGATCAACTACAACGTCGAAGCCGAGTGCAACCGATACCTCAAGAAAAAAGTGTACGACCGCACGTCGCAGTATCAGTCGCGGGCGATCCCGATTCCTCGGTTTTCCCCGCCCAAAGACGACCCAAGCATCAACTTTATGGGGCGGTAGGTGCAATCTCTACCCATGCGATTCACTCGGGTGTTGGTATCGAGAAATACTGTGTTGACCACACTATTCATGCTGCCGTTTGTGACTCGTTGGGACGCTCGCCTGATTTGCGTCGTGGTAGACTCATGCACGCGCTGTTCTTGATGACGGATCCCCACGAAACCGTGTACTCGTTCCAGTGCTTGACGTGGTTTAACGAAGAAGGCGTGGAAGTGGCTGGCCTGAGCACGTTTGGTGTGCTTCACCAGAGCATTGGGCTCTTGGGTCTCGTCGGCGTCGATCGCATGCTCTCCTTCCGCATTGTACACGGCTTTCCGACTTCTCCAATCCTTTTTACCGTTCGTGTAGGTGCACACGTTGAACAACTTGATCAAGTTCTGGGGCACGGCCGTGACGCCGTACTTGCCGCTGCTGGATCAATTGACGGCAGCGCTCGAACCGGCGTGGCGGCTACCGGACAACGCATCGCGGCTCTACGAAGCGTCGATGAAAAAGGTATCGACGTTTGTGACCCATTCAGTGGATATCCCATGGAGCATCCTTAGGTTGAAAAAATCATGAGCAAATTGCTCAAGGCCGTGTTGATCATCGGGCAAGCGGCGCTATTGCGAAAGGCCATCGTGTCGGAGCTCGCGTTTTCGTCGAAACTGGACGCGCACTTGCTCTCTTGCAGCATCGAAACGCTGGACAAGAGCATGCTGAACGACATTCGATCGCACTACCGATCCAGTGCGTCGGTGCCCCATCCGCCTGCCGCCGTCCTCGTCGAATTGAACAAGTACCTGGAAACCATGGGTGCCAACGATCCATACTCCAAGATCTTTATCACGATGAACGAGCCGTTGGAAAAACTGTCGGCGCTCTTCCTCTTGTTTGTGCTGGCATACATGCCCAAGCTCCAGTATGACTACCACTTTGGCGCGCTGAAGCGAGTACGTTGCAACATGATGAAGCATTTGCGAAAACGTCAATCGATCGTGCTGGCTTAGGTGGGGACGAACCCCGTCGACGGCGCGCCGTTGATCCTGGGGCTGTCGACGATTTTCAAACAATTCCACCCGAGCTACACGGAGCAGTTCGTGTCGTACATCGGGCAATACGTGAGAAGCACCATCAGCGAGTCGAAAGAAACCAACCAGTTGCCCCCCCAAGTCCTGAACGTCCTCATCTTTTTGCAGCAGTTTGCGCGGGTCACGCACTTGAAGTCGTCCATACTCCACAGCCACATTCCTGCGTACGTGTTTGACGCGATGAGCGTGTAAGGAAAATATAACCCTGGCCAGTATCCCCCACCCTCCCAACGCGCACTTGTCGTCGACGTGAGTGCTACTGAAAATGGCCCGTAAAGCGAACGGGACCAAACATCTCGGCAGTGAAATCCATCAAAGCAACAACAAAGGGGCAGTGCCAGAGCCACCCGTGGGATATTGCATTGCCATTCGACTGTAGGTAGATGCGTACGTGACATGCGTCGACAACAATGGAGATTTTCACAGAAGAGCCCTTCGTTGGACGACTCGCTCAAACTAGCCGTTTGCCCCTCCTGGCGCGACGATGGAGCAGCCAACAGACACTCCGCATCCATGCTGCTGCATGGAATCATGAGCGCTCGACGTGCGGCAGCGCATCCATGGTTGGCAAGCATACGCCCACCTTGAACCTTGTCAAGATGAAAGGCCCAATTTCCCCAACCTCCGAGATGGGCTGAACAAGGTGTCGTCACCATTGCTCGGATCATCTAGACCAACGGGGAATTCATGCAATGAGGAAGTGCTTACGAATGGAAGCGGACATATTCGATCGAATCGCCAACACGGCCATGCCACTGACCAGGTCTCTCGATTCCTCGTCTCCCGGATGGATGGTTACCGCGACTCGAAACGCTCCTCATTATCGACCTCGGCCAGCAAAAACGGCGGCACAGGTCGCCCTTCGCACCATCCTCCTGGTGTCCGCTGCTACTTGTTGGATGCTCTCAGCCAGATGAGCGTGCGGAGCCAGCTAGCCTGCCATGTTGAACTGGCGTGAAGTGAAAAGCAAGTCAGAGTGCCGCAATGGACCTTGGGGACGCAACATCGCAGTGAAACACGGTCTCTTGACTGTACACACTGCCTCACGCTCGTCCGTCTTGTCAGTACCGCGAGTTCCTTGACTACTTTGGCCTTCGTGACATCTGACATCACCTCGGCGCCTTCGGCTGTAGCTCCCGTAACCTGTAGTGGCTCATACCCCACCCCCCATCATGGACCCGACGACTTGTTCCTCTGCCCCAACGGTACACACGTCGTCCTGCGGCTACACGCGCATCTGGCCATTACCCCAGCAAGTCGATGCGACCGATGCCATGCACACTCGAATGTAGTGTGTTCGTGGCCCAGACGTCGGATGCATCAAATGCTTCATCTCGACTCAGTGCCTCATTGAACTCATCCATCGTACCAGTGTCGCAGCGACAGGGCTCATTTCATCCCCTTGAGGCATGCATTCGAATGGGGTCGCTCTCTGCTGCACGTCCTTGCTGTGTGCCTCATTCCAATTGTTTGTGTGGTGTCCACCCTTGACTGTTCGATCACCTGTCGCAACAATACACTACGAAGGCGATGACAGTAGGCTCCGCACCCGCCGCCGCTCGTCCATGGTTATGAGTGCCAAGCCATAAGCCACGACCCACCCCACTGTAATCGATTCAAAATCCGACAACATGCTAACTATGGAGATGCTATTGCGCAACTTTGAGGCCACTGGCTCGCCCTCAGCAATCCCTTGCCATGCACAGTCAACCCATTCCGATGCTGGTTGAGGAGATGCCTCATTCGCGGGCGAGA